TAATACTTTATCCTCAACAATATATATTTAGATATGTAATAATTTATATGTTGTTTCTTCCACGCATTTACTCTTTGTTACTAATAGACTTTAGGTGTGCTTATACTTCATCCCACTTAAGCTTTCTCCACTGAAAACTTTGTAATTGATTGATGAAATTATACTCTCCCTATATTATTTTAAATTCTTTTAAACTAACCGATATACAATAACATTAAACGTATCAAACAAAGGTGGATGGAACACTGGTTTTCGAAGAACTTAAAATTAATGTAAAAGGCGATAAGTCGTGAAAAAGTTCATGATTTACGATAATAGTTCAACAACCAAAAATAAATGAACATGATCGTAAATCCTGATCTTCATTTTCAATCAATCATAATACTAGGTCGGGATCAACATTACTATTATTAGCATTGATTCGACCCTGTGCCACGGAAGAACCTTGATTATCCGAAGTGTTACAATTGTAACCACAATGAAGAAGAAATAAACATTTGTATTCTATATAAATTACACGAAGTAATACTATGTACATAAGTCACAAAAGTTAAGAAAATTGAAGTTTTATATTAAGATTTAAATTGTTGCCCAATTGTTAATTAAAAGTCAATACAACTATGCAACATAGTCTGTTATTGATACATTAAAGAAATTGTTGGACTCTAAATAGATTTTCAGTTCTGATGATCAAGGTTCGAATAATAATTCCGAAAGAACAATTCACTTATTGGACAACTAGCAAACTGTACTAACAAGAGGACCCCACAATCCGATATCTGATTTTTATGAAATTTTGTGAAAAGATAGCGCACATCTAAATTTCAAATCGTGTAAAACTGTACGCATGAACGTTTCACTATTAATAAAATATTTAACAATAGAGTTAATAAAAAGAATCTAAAATTCATTATTAAATATCTCGCTGACTCAGTAAAATAAGCTTTATGTGACTTCATAAATTAGTGCCCATTATCTTTTCACAAAAGTTCATCGAAATATGTCTAGAATGTGTCGTACAATTCCATTGGAAGCGAAAATACATCTATAATACGCCTGTTATTGTCAGTTTATTCCCAGAGTATTTAAAACGGCAGATAGGTGTACAGGATGAAATTCATTTAAGGCCTAAAAGCCCCTCTGCAACGCCGAGGTAGTATACTGTTTGTGCAATTCCGAAAAGAGGCGCTATCACGATCATTCTGCAGGCCCCACCTTTAAAGAACGCTGTCGGCCCCTCGTTTCTCATTGTTTTACTGTAACGTCATAAATGGCATTTTCATGGAACGTCTGTCACCCTTGACAAATTACTGGTAACAGCAGTTTCGAAGATTTAAAACATCAGCTTTACATATTGTTGATTTCATGTAATAATATGATATTTACGAAACGAAAGTTAATATTTCAAGTAATGTTGTTGTGCATCAAATAGACACACAGATCTATTTTTAACGTATTTATATTCACCTTATGCAGTCGAATACACCATTATATGTTGGTTCGCCAGGAGCTTTTTTGATTATTTGTAGCCTAGTTTTGATTACATCAAATGGATTCACCATTAAAGCAGCTGTAGAACCAGCAGCACAACCAGCCAAGAATGAGCACCAAAATACGGCTGGTAAAAGTCGATACAAATATAATTGACAACGTATTCTTTAAATTTTAAGCAGTAAATGTAATTCTTAACAGATCATTTATGTGTAGTTTAAGTACACTTACAAGAACCGTCCTCCCTTTTTGGCCCAATATCATTCAGTCTAGCAAACAAAGGGAAGTAGATAACTGAGAATGTCACATCTCTGAGAGCTGTTGCTCCAGTACCTTGATACAGTCCTAAAATACCTCTCTTTTTAAGAAGATCTTTTGTTAAGGACAGGGCTGACACCTTCGGCACCGTTTTCCCAGCTGTAATAGAATATTGTATTTTTTAATTTACCATTCAATATTCTACTCGTCATAGCAACTGATAAATATGACTGAATTTTGTGTAGATATAAATTTAAAATATCTATAGAATTTCATAAGATTGCTTGTCTTTAATGAAGCTTAAGATGGCCAAAATATTATATTTCGATAATCATTGAGTAAATGTTAATCTATTTTTTCATATTCCGTCTTTATAAAGTTTAACTTATAACAAGAAGTTGAGTAAATATTAATCTATATTTTTCATATTCCGTCTTTATAAAGTTTAACTTATAACAAGAAAATAATATCACCGCAAGCAATTAAAATGATAAAAGTCGTGACATTTTCATTCATTTCCATTTTCACTGTCAATAGTACCAGTTAATGCAGTACTTTTTTTTAATAACAAGTGAACGATC